GGGGAGGGCGGCGGCGGCGGCGGCGGCGGGAGGGGCGACAAGGGCTGCCCCCTGGTGGACGTGCGGATGATCGACTTCGCTCACACCACGTGCCGCCACTACGGCGAGGACAGCGTGGTGCACGAGGGGCAGGACACGGGCTACATCTTCGGCCTGCAGAACCTCATCGCCATCATCAAGGAGCTGGAGGACGACAGCGGCGACTAGAGCCCGGGAGAATCCCAGCTCTTCCCTTCGCGCCCGAGACCGGACACTTCCGCGGAGCACAGAGAGGGTGCCGGGACGGATACGAGGCCGAGGACGTCTGTGATGCATGCACGGCCGGGAGCCTGTCCCGCTGTGGCCCAGCGGCCTGTTACTGACCGCTGGGGGAGGGGGGGTGTAATCTGACATCATAAACGGACGCCTGCGTGTTTTCTGCCAAGAGCGGCTGTAGTTTTTGTCTGTCAGGGAACGGGGGGGGGTGTGACCTGACCCGTCCTCTTCTGTATCTGTGCGTTCATTTGTTGGTTTCTTCGACTCTCGAAACTGTCGTTTTTCATCCCCCTTCTTTTCCAGTGCTGTGTTACAGGGGAGGAAACAAAAAAAAGCTCTGGAGTGTTTTCTTTTTCGAAACGGGGGGGAAAAGAGCAGCAGCAGCAGCAGCACATGAACCGAGCATGAACTGAACTGCCTGCGGCAGACCCGCGCCCTCCCAGCCTCGTTCCCTTGACCCTCGGACACGTGGCGTGCGCGGGGAGGCCGGGCCGCCGGGCGCGTGGCCGGTCAGTCAGTGAGTTGACCTCAGGTCTTTGACGGAGACGGTTTGAGCTTTGTGCCCCCTGGGCTTGACCACGCTCGCTCATGGGGGCGGGCAGTGTGCCCACGGGGTGGGGTTTGCTTCTGGGGCCGAGGAGGGGAGCCGCAAGGGGGCCGGACACAGCGTGGCCTGTCCTCTGTGCATGGAGTCGGCAAAGACTTGCCCTTCTCTCTCTCCCCTTCGCCCTCTCTTCCGCCTGTGGGGGGGGAGCACTGTGGCCGAGACGACAGAATGTGAACGGGGGGCAGGTGGCGCGTCA